CCATACAAGTGTGTACTGAACCTAAAGCTCTGTTAGATACGGTTCGATACGGGTACATGTACTGTTGCAGCCCTAATATTCACCTCTGCCATTTGGCAGTTCCTGGGTTTTAAAGGTATAACTGTCAAACGGCAGAGGTCTGGTGGTTCTATTATGTTCTGTAGTAAACAAAATATTGGTTTATTTATTAAAACTTCTAAACTCTTCTGGACCTGGTCCAAACACCTGGTTCTGACGAGTCAGGTGTCCAGTTCCACCGGTCCAGCCAGCAGGATCTAACATGACCTCTGCTGCGTCCACAGAGTTCAAGATGTCTGAAGAGACCCCACCTGTGGGAGAGCCGTCCCAGTCCCAAACCCAAACCCAGTCCACCCTGTCCCCGTCTCAGGCCAGGTCCCAGTCCCAGCCCGGTTCCAGTTCGTCCAGCGGGCCGACCTCAGCCAGTCAGTCTTCCAGCGGTTCTGGGACTTTGAGCAGCCTGGAGACCATCCCTGTGACCCTTTCATCGGTCCCAGAGGAACCAGAACCACAACCCTGGGGCCGACTGCTGCCCATGGCCCCTGGCTTCAGGAGCCACGGTGAGCAGCGTGCTAACGATGCTAACGCTATGACCAGCACCTGTTTGTTTGTTTGTTTGTTTATTTGATTACAGACTGTGTAGAGCTGCTACATTTTTACACCTGTAAGGGGTCCACAGACCCAAAAAGTTTGAGAAACCCTGGTGTAGAGGACCAGTACCTGTTTGTTTATGTTTGTTTGTTTACAGACTGTATAGAGGACCAGCACCTGTTTGTTTGTTTACAGACTGTATACAGGACCAGTACCTGTTTGTTTATGTTTGTTTGTTTACAGACTGTATATAGGACCAATACCTGTTTGTTTGTTTATGTTTGTTTGTTTACAGACTGTAAAGAGGACCAGTACCTGTTGTTTATGTTTGTTTGTTTGTTTATGTTTGTTTGTTTACAGACTGTATAGAGGACCAGTACCTGCTTGTTTATGTTTGTTTGTTTGTTTGTTTACAGACTGTATAGAGGACCAGTACCTGTTTGTTTATGTTTGTTTGTTTGTTTACAGACTGTATAGAGGACCAGTACCTGTTTGTTTATGTTTGTTTGTTTACAGACTGTATAGAGGACCAGTACCTGTTTGTTTATGTTTGTTTGTTTACAGACTGTATAGAGGACCAGTACCTGTTTGTTTATGTTTGTTTGTTTACAGACTGTAAAGAGGACCAGTACCTGTTTGTTTATGTTTGTTTGTTTGTTTACAGACTGTATAGAGGACCAGTACCTGTTTGTTTGTTTGTTTATGTTTGTTTGTTTACAGACTGTATAGAGGACCAGTACCTGTTTGTTTATGTTTGTTTGTTTGTTTACAGACTGTATAGAGGACCAGTACCTGTTTGTTTGTTTGTTTATGTTTGTTTGTTTACAGACTGTATAGAGGACCAGTACCTGTTTGTTTATGTTTGTTTGTTTACAGACTGTATAGAGGACCAGTACCTGT